ATAGACTGCCTGGGGAGGTGGTTGAGTCGCCGTCCCTGGACGTGTTTAAGTGTTGCTTAGATGTGGTGTTGGGTGATATGGTTTAGGGGTGAACTTAGTGTAGGGTTAATGGTTGGACTTGATAATCCCAAGGGTCTTTTCCAACCTGAATTGTTCTGTGATTCTATGATTCTCCTGACACCCACCCCTCAGATACTTGTATACATTAATAAGATCCCCTCTCAGCTGTCTCCTTTCAAGGCGAAACAGCCTCAGTTCTCTCAGTCTCTCTCCTAGGAGAGATGTTCAAGACTCTTAATCATCCTCATGGCTCTCCATTGGACTCTCTCCAGTAGGTGCCTGTCTCCTCTTGCAGTTTCATGCTCTTGCTGTGCCTCCTCACGCAAGAGAATCAAAGAAGCTTAAAAAGGCAGAACATCTTCCTTCCTTTTGGTTTAATAGGTGCCATACTACCTGAGAGTCAAAGAATGTAGCTGCATCTAGTTGGCCTGTGGGCGTGATAAATTCTAATATTGTGTGTCATTCATTGTTAGGTGATTGAATGGCATATGAAGACAGAGGAACTCCATCTGCAGGAACTTAAACTCAATCGAGAGTTAGTCAAGCAAAAGGAAGAGTTGAAATATTTGCGTAATATAGTTTCTGAGTATGAACATACAATCAATAATCTGGAAGAAGAAATTGTACAGCAGAGCAAGGTATGTATTTCTGCATGCTGTTAAGAAAACAGCCTGTTCCTTATTTCAGTAAATGATTTTTAAAAGGAAGATTCTTCTTAGCAAGTTTTTATCATAGATAAAATGATTCATTTTAATAGCATATTTGAGTATTTTACATTTTAGTATTGTTCTGTTTAAGTTGGTTATAAAATTCTCATAGTTTTCAATAAATAAAACACTTTATTGAACATTTGTTGCAGTTTCATGAAGAAAGACAAATGGCTTGGGACCAGAGGGAAGTAGAACTGCAGCGCCAATTAGACCTGTATGATCATCAACAAAATGAAATACTTAGTACAGCTCGAAAGGTACATGCACTGAGTTATCTAAAAATAGGTTTACAAGTATGTTTTTCAGAGCTGTCAGATTACATGAATATGAATCTTTCTATGCAGTTAGAAGAGACTACAGGATCAGTTCCAGACCCTAGTTTGCCACTCCAACAACAACTCGAGTTGGCTTTGAGAAAGATTCAGGAGCATATTCGAACCATCCTGGAAACTAGAGCAACCTGCAGATCGTTGGAGGAGGTAACTAACTAAATGTATAAATATTCATATGAAGGGACAAAGTTTGTAGGTTTGTGGCCTTTAATTTTTTAATTAATAATAATAAATTAAGTATAAATACCCTTTTATATACGTCATTCAGATGGGCCCAATCCCTTAGAAATGCTTAACACAGAGAAAATAGAAGTAGTATAATCACACCACAATGAAAATGAAATATTTTTTGCATTGGAACAAATTATTGGACAAAATTTTTTGCATATTTTAGATCACTCACTTGGTAAGGTAAGATGCTCTTGCTGTACAAAATTCAGTTGACAAGAGCTAGCTAAAATTTAGCAAGTGTTACATTAAATTTAACGAGTAGCACAGCAGACTTTTTATTTTGGGTTGTTAAATTGGAATTCTGTTGCAGAAGATACTTCGAGGTTCTTAATAAACTTGAAAAACACCAGCTTATTAATTCGGTAGCGCAGAATGAGTTGCGTAAGCATCTTGTGCAAAGCAAATAATACGTAAAGACAAGGTAATGATATTCTGGGAACTTTCCTTACAATGGTAATCCCAAAGAGCCAGAACCCAGTGTGAAATGTTATGTGCTTATAAATCCATTTAGACAAATATTTCTGTTCATTCTTTAAGAAGTAAGGTCTTTTTGTAGTATTTGAATTCTGGGATTGTAATGGTTGCCTTTCGTCGCAGAAATTAAAGGAAAAAGAAACCGCTCTGTGGAAAGCTGAACAAAATATTTTATCTAGAGACAAAGTTATAAATGAACTACGACTTCGATTACCTGCAACATCAGAAAGAGAGAAAATAATGACTGAATTAGACAAAAAAGAAGATGATCCAGAGTACCGTCGTGCCATGAAAATTGCTCATCAAACCATTGCAAATATGCAAGCAAGACTAAATCAAAAGGAGGAAGTGTTAAAAAAATACCAATGTTTGCTTGCTAAAGCAAGAGAGGTAGTTAAACGTTTTACATAAAATTTTGTTAATTTTTAATTTGTTTTACTTGATTCTTTGTTTATCTCATTGCTAATGAAATCTGTAAAAGTTTCTGACCTCATAGGTAAACAGAAAAATTAGTAATTTTTATGTAGGAAAGTTCATGTAGTGTTTTTTAACTTTTTAAATAAAGAAGCTTGCTCAATTGAGAGGTTATGTATATGATGTCTGTCTAGGAATTGAATTAGTGTGACAGGAAGAAAATTAAAATTGTGCTGTGAGAAGTGGTGTCATTATATTGTATATTTATATGAGATTTTCCAGTCCTTGCAACAATGATTGCTGGACTCCATCTTACAGGGAAGACATGCATTTGTGGAAAATATGCTTCTTAAAGCATATAACTATGCTTCTTAAAGCATATTTTAATTTAAAGTATATTTTAAAGCACAAATAGTGTATCTAAGCATATGTTATTTAAGGACACTTTATATTCCTAATTCTTTGTACCCTTAAAGTGTATTTTTAAGCATTAACCTTGTGTCTACGAGGTACTTTAAGACTGAACATGCATCAGTTTTAGTGTGTTTGGATCAGGAGTGCATTTCTGGAGCAGACTTCCTATCTTCTTCACTTAGTGTGCTTTGCTTAAATGTGTGTTGCTATTTCTTCTGGGAGAAATTGAGTTTTTTTGGTCAGGAACTGAACCGGAAGATGCAAGCGAAAAATGAGCCTCCTGTGCTTTGTCTACTTGGAAGCACCCAATCCCAGGATCCTGCTATAGTCTAAAGAAAATAGACCTGAAAAGTACATGGGGTGGATATCGCTCTCCGTATTAATAGTCTCAACTGGCGAAGACCAACATCAACTGTTTTGCTCTCCAGCTCTTGTCCTGTTGCACCATACTATTTGCTATGTAGCTTGAAACTGCATTAGTAGATTTTATCTTCCAGTAGTGTTAAAGAAAGAAAAAGAAGTCATTGATTAGAGCAAGAAGTAAAGAATTTTAAAAACTGACAGAATTAGAGGAACCTTTGGGGAGCAACACTGTGCAATGAGTTAGTGATCATCATGAAGGTACTGTAGTTTCATGACTATCTGGAATAGTGTGCTCAGTAAAGCTGTATTTTTGTTTTGAACTAACAGGAACAAGAGGAAATAGCAAAGAAGCATGAGGAAGACCTTAGAGTTCTACACCAGAAGTTAAATTTGCATACTGACAGTTCCCTTGATAAGTTCAAACAGACTGCTTTGGTAAGTTATGTGAATTTGTGGAAATAATGAAGTTGTTCCCAAATTCTTAAAATTGTTGCTTAAAAGAACATTTCTGCAGTCAAAAGTAAGTAATAAATGATGACAGGAAGAGTAAATGGGCAGGTGATAAAGAATCACTGTATTATTCTCTCAAGAATTCACAAGAGGTGGATTAGCCGTCAATGTAAAAGACAAGGTTAACGCCTCAGTATGGATGAGTGTTTCGTATCATCCTGATTTTTGGCGACATCTAAGAGAGAGACAGGTATACTTTTCATTCAATCTGTGGTTATGTTAAACTAACCCATTTCAATACAAATTTTCTCTTGACATTTTATTATAAGGTGAAATCTGTATTTAACTGGATATTCTGTTGATAATTTGATGCACAAACCAGTGCTTCTCTTACACTTTCCATCCAGTGTGACTGCTTTCTCCCTGGGCCAAGAATCACATCTCAGTAAATAAACATGTTACATATTAATGCTTGGTTATATTCAAGTTTGAGTTTAAAATATGTCAGTAATATTCACCTTTAATGTAAAGCTTAAGGTGTTTATTATATGTGTGTACTCTGTTTTACAGGAGTTAGTGAAAAAGACTTCTTTGTCACTTTCCGACAACAAACGTTTTCTCCGCTTAGCTGAAATGGAGCAAACTGTAGCAGAACAGGAAAATTCTCTTGCTTCACTTGTTCGAAAATTAAAGAAAACATCATTCGATTTGGAGAGACAAAAACAAATTGCTTCAGTGAAAATTAAAGATTTTGAGACTATCATAGCCCAGTAAGTTTTTAGACTGTTAACGTAAGTCACAGTTGGATTGGATCAAATCAGTTATGTAATGCTGCTACAGGACTGGTCTATCACCTTGAACATGGTTTTGCTGAGTTTAAGATTTAGCTGAAAAAAATATTCTTAAGAGTTACTGTGGCTGGTAATTGTAAATTATTTTTAAGTTGTAACCCCTCATTGGGGCTAACACTGAAAACCTGTGGTATGAAAAAATGCCTTCAGTTGTTATGTTCATGCCATTCAGTGAAACAGAAAGTATTCAAGCAGTCTTGGTATGAGAGTTGTCTTTAAGCTACTGTGGTACTTGCTCCTTAGTGATTTCGTTTTTTTCCCATGATATCTCCGTTTGAGCTTGCTGCCTAGCAAGTTTAAACTCAAGAAAGTTTAAGCCCTGTTTAAAAGGAGCGAAGTATGATGCTTTCTTTACCTCTGAGGGGCAAGAATTAGAATGAACATTGCTCTAATCTCATTTTGCTGATCTTCTTGAGTAATATTCTTCTTTTGCTGTTTCCAAATCTGTGTTTCATATGCTTTTAAGAATAATAAGAAATATAATGTTGTGCCCTTTGTTATTTATTTGGAGTTCAGTAACTTAAGTACAACAGTGTACCCTATTAATGATGTTTTGGTTTTTTTATTAGGCTTCAGGAAAAACACATAGTTGATGTGGAACAGCTAAAAGATGAAGCAAATGTATTAAGGAGTGTGTTATCTCAGAGGGAGAAAGAATTAGCAAATGTGAAAGCTGAACTAGAGGTCCAAAAAGAAGCAAATAATAGAGCACCCTCAGAAGCACTGAAAAGCCTGGTGGAACAGCTGAAGAGCCAGTTAGCCACGAAGGAGAAAAAGCAGAAAGTTAGTAAACAAAAATTAATCCTTCTGTCACATAAATTTGTAACATTGCTTAATGCTTAAGAATTCTATATATTGTATAGTAGGACATAGAATGTAATTGCATAGTGTAACATAGTAAAATCTAATGGCCATTTCATGTTTTGTCATGCTCATACTAGAAGCTTCTCAGTCAAAAAGAACTTGATTTTTTTTTTTTTTTTCAGGCTTTGAGTAAAGCACTTCTGGAACTGCGAGCAGAAATGACTGCTAATGCTGAACAGCAGATTATTTCTGCTGCATCACAAAAAGAGGCATTTATGAATGTCCAGGAGATTGTTGATAGACAGACAAAGGGGCTTTCGGTGAGTGCTAGGTAATGTCATTGTATTGCATTGTTATATTGTTGACAATCTTGATTTTGGAGGTTTGCTCTTTTCTTTCTTTGTTTTCTTCCAGACACAGATAGAGGAATTAAATAATCAGATTAAAAAACTTACTGATGACCTTAAAATAAGTAAAGCCAGGGCAAGTTCTTTATCTGATGAAAGGGATGAGTTGAACCAAGAACTTCAGAGGAAACAAAAAGAATTTGCTAAAGCGTTGGCAGAAAAAGGTGAAATGGAAAAAGAAAATGAAGAACTGAAGAAACGAATTAGAAGGCTAAGCAGTAGCATTCAGGTAGAAATGATTTTTAAAAATACATTTGATCTTGGCAAAGTTTTTCCATAAATTTGCTGGTTTGGGGGTGAAGTATTACGTACTTTTGGCAGGCATTAAAACTTGATTTAAAAGTTTATGTTTGCTCATCAGCTGGGTTACATGGAGGCTGTTGGGAGCATGCCTCAAATAAGAGGAAGAAACTGAAAAACACTTCTTGGAATATGTTGGAAAGACTCTGTGGAGTTGAATTCCCACTTTCAAAGCTTCTTTGAAAAGTGTAATTTTATCACCTTCCTGGTTGTCCTTAATTCCCCTTTCAGAAGAAAAGTAAAGGATTTATAGTAGAATTGTCTAACTTATTTATCTTTAAAACTCAGCTTTTTGCTGCTGATTATTAAATTTAGAATACAAAGTTACATTCCAATACTTTACAGATTTAAAGATAATTTTAAAAAGATCATTTATGTTGTTAACTGTTTCTACCAATCGGAATTAAATTTCTTTTTTGGGTAGAGAAAAATATTCAGGTAGGCGTCATTAAACTTGAAGTTTGTAAAGGTTTGTAATTTTTCAGAGCAAAGCTGATGAACAAAATCTGGTAGAGGGACTTCAGAAAAAAATTAAGAAGTTGGAAAGTGAACTTCAGAAGAAGTGTGAAGAAACAGAAAAAAAAGGGGTAAGAGAAGACAAGGTATGTGATACTTAGTTCTGGCACTGGAAGAAATCATCAACCTAGGTCTAGGCAGTTCAACTCTCCCTAATGCCTCTAAAAAACTCGTGACTGTAACCATGCTGTTACTGCCCTTGTTGCTTAGCACTGGTGTATTAATGTTTTCTCAGCCTTTTTGTATAATTAAAGATCCGGTACAAATCTTACAAAACTAAGATTTTATAGGTAGCAGTGAAATTGCTTACATAAGTGCTGCCAAATGTGCATTTGCAAAATCAGTGCAATGATAAAAAAATGAAGTACTCGGAAACAAAAGTGAGAATGCTAAAGGGGATGGTGCCTCTGTATTTGTTCTTCACAGGGCTGATCTCCCCATCGAACTGGTTCTGAGCGACTGAAGGTGTGCTCATTTTAACAGTTGTTTGGTTTGAGCTTTTGGTTGTTTTCTACTTCAGTAACTAGTTAGTGGCTTGTTATAGTAATCAGAAAGTATACCAGAATATTATACCATGCTTATATAATGACATTCAGACCATTTATGATATTAAATATTATTCTAGGCCTGCACTTATGCTTTCAATTTATTTAAGACTTCTAAATACATGTTGCTTAGTGTCTAGAGGTATTTTTCTCATATCTGGCACATATATTTTTTTTCCCAAGATTTTATTTTCTGTCTATCCCTTAGTAGTAGTAACTGTTTAGAATGAAAACAGAAAAGCAAGTACCTCGGAGAAGGGAAAAGTCCAGTTAAAAAGAAACAAAAATTGCTCTCAGGATTCTTGACTGTGATTTTTCAGAAGCAATTTATGATCACATAGGTGCAGGTTTTAACTGAGGTATGATTTATAGTTACTGAATTGTAAACTTAAATAGAGATTCCATTTCTCATAGGAAAAAATAAAATAAAATGACCAGTTGTACGGCTGTGCAGCAGAGGCATGTTAGCTACTGATGAGCTGCAGAAGACAGATCTGCTGTCAAGTGGCATACAAAAGCATTTCTTTAATCTGTGTTCTTAGCTAACTTGTAATTCAGAGTAGAGGGATACATGGCACTAGTGCCTCTAATTGCATGAAAAGTGACACTCCTTTTTTGTAAAGTCAACATTAAAAGCCAGTGAAGAATTTGGTAACAGCATTAAACTGGATCGGCTTTATATACCAGTCACTACAGCACATGTAAGGTTTTGAGCCGGGCCTGCTTTTCCCCTTATGGTAAATAATATATGCTTGCTATGGATTCATGTTTTAACCTGATAAATAAAGAATACATCGTTCTTGGGTTTCTAACATGTTTACTTCTTTGGCTTTAAGAAAAAAATTCAAAAAGAAATACATGATTTGTACATGTACTTCACAGACCTCCAAGGAGGAAATAATTAGATGGGAAGAAGGTAAAAAATGGCAAATCAGAATGGAAGGATTGCGGAACAAACTAAGGGAAAAGGAAAAAGAAGCAGATGTTTTAGCCAAGCAGTTGAATACACTGAAGGAAATTCATAGCAAGTAAGTTGGTTTTAATAGATTCAGCTACAAAATGATGACATGAGGGAAATCCAAATATGTTTGCCACATAATAATTGTAACAGTTTGATAGAGTTACAAGATTCATGTCTAGAATTCAATATCGCTATTGAGATTACAAGTATTAGTTAGTTTTCAGGCAGCAGGCTACACCCCTAGTATCCTTTCCATTGTAGAAGCCAACAACCTTTATTAGAGGAAGCTGTGTCTCTGAAGAAAACTAATTTAAATCCTTGATTATGATTCTTGTATATAACATTCTGTTATTCCCATGAAACAAATAACAGCTTTATGGAAGACAGGCTGTTTCTCACTGCTGTATTGTTTAATCAGACTGCTGAAATTGGATACCGTGCTACTGTTAGGTCATGCTACTGTAGTATCAACAGTTCTAGGGTTATGAGATGGAAGCTTTTTAAAAAAAACCTCACGCACAAACCCTCTGCAAATGTTATATTTACTTCTCTATGATAATGACAGGGTTTTACTAATAAAAGATGCAGAAGAGAAGGGAAACTGTGATGCTGATGGTAGCTGTTGATAGATTGTGGTTTGAAAGTGCTTCAAAATAACATATGTCTATAAGGTAAACTTATTAAACAGAAAAGAGTGAGAAAATAAATTGCAAATGTAGATTCTTTAAGACAGAATATATTTTCTCCTAAAGATGGTTAGCAAATAAATTTTTAAATTACTGGATGTTGTAGGACTGACAAAGAGAAAATTGTTCTACAGAAGAAACTGAAAAGCACTGGTGTCACTGTTGACCGTGTTGTTGGAGTAAGAGCCTCAGAAATTGAAAAAGAACTGGAAGAACTAAGAAAACGGAATCTAGATTTAGAAGATGAAATTGCTCACATGAGGTGAGAGGCATTTTAAAGGAATCTTTAAAAAGTAAAAAATCTAAATGAGAAAAAAGTCTGTGCAAAGAAATAGATGGTCTTTATTTAGACCAACTGATTCAGTAAGGAAAAGAGACAGGAATTTCAAAAATGCTTCTTTGAGTCTGTGATGAGCAAACTTAAAGCTACTAGGGAGTAACTCTGCATGTTCAGAGAAAATGCAGCATTGATTCAGTGTTATATAATGCTAAATAATATGAAAAATACCTGGTTCCCATTGTGTAAAATTATAATTACAGTTTAGAATTAGTGAAAGCTCTTGGAACTGCTAAGTTGCAGTTAAGGAGTGTATTCTTAATCAGTATATCCACTATCACAGTAGATCGTGTACCTGAGTAATAGAAGCTGTACACATCTCAAAAGAGCAAATTCCTTTTGCAGAGTAAGTACTTCTGATTCACAGGGATTATTTGAAATTATATATATGGCTAACATTGATTTGACTGAACTGTCCCAGTAATACTAGAAAATCCAGTCTAGAAATTCAGAAGTTCACTCTTTTTTTTTTTTTTTTAACCTTGCGGGATGTTTTTCTGCATTAATAGTCATTTGTTTGCTTGGGCTTGATTAATGTTTTGATGTAGAATACAGCAAGCAATCCCACGAGATTCTGTTGTAGAAGAATTACATCTCAAAAATCAATACCTCCAGGAAAAGCTTCACGCATTGCAGAGACAGTGTTTGAGAGAGACTTATTCTACACCCTCGGTAAGTTAATAATGCAGCTGTATTACTTAGAGGAATCGTGCCTACATAACAGTAAATATTTATTTTCCATTTGCTATTCTGTCATTTAGCTGGTTTTATTTCAAATCATGGTATTATAAACTAGGGTATTAAATACTTAGCTTTTAGTATTTTTAAAAAAACAAAGCAAAATCAAAAAAACTCAAACCCCAAAAATTTAAAGTTTCTGTGTTCTTCAGGGAGAAGGATCCTATCATACGCAGAGAGATATGGGACAAGTGTTTTTGAATATGAGAATGTGCAACTGAGAGACTCTTATATTACATATTGATTGAAGTTGGGGGAAATACTGAGCTGCATTTCAGTTACATTAAATGTTCTTGTGTTTTGATTTTTACAAGGTTCATTATATGGCACATGTTGAATTAAGTTATTTTAATCTTTCAAGAAACAGACCTAAAGGTAGATTCTAGGCTTCGTTTCCTGTTTTGTTTTACTGTTTTCTGCTTTTTTTCATGCTTCGTTCTATCTTCAACTTGAATCAGAGTACATGTGTCCAAACTGAACTGACCAAGTCCGTTCCTATGAGTATCAATAAACAAAAGTATTTGAATGCCCTTCAAAAGAAATCTATTTCAAATAGGGATGAAATCAAACATCAGCCTAATCGTAGCATTACTGATGGCAATGAAATAGATGATGAAGCAGACACACAAACCTGCATCATGCCCAGCGAAGGCCATGAGGCTACTGCGGGTACAAGCACGGAAGTGTCTCCTGAAGAGCATCCTGAAGATAGTGAGAAATGCAAGGACACGGATATTTCTAGGGAAGGATTGAAAAACAACAATAGAGCTGAAGCTGATGAAGAGAACTCAGGTGAAAAAGAAGAAAATGTAACCCAACCTGAAAATGAAAAACTTAATGAGGAATTGGAAGAAGAGGAGGGGAAGCAAGAAATACTCAAGCAATCAAATGTTGATGAAGAAGAAAGTGTAGAAGAGCCTGATCCTGACAGAATGAGCTGCAATCAGTCTGATTCGGGGGAGCCTTCTAATCAAGCTAACGACTATGAAGCAGAAAAAATAAATGTGAATAATGAGATGAATCCACACATTGCAGAGGATAAACATGAAATTTACCAAAGTGGTACAGAGGGGATTGAAACAACCCCAGGATTTTGTGAAATGCCCGAGGTTTGATACTGTAGCAGTCCTCTAGCATTTCTTCTGTATAAATGATGTAGAAATAGAATAGATTGATCTCGATAATGCAGTAGTTTGCTGTGCCTGGTCTGCAGGGATATTGAAGTAGTCAATAATCCCAGTGATACATGCAGCTAGTTGAAGAATTTTGTTTTTTAAGAGACTAAAAATGTGTTATTAACAGTAAGAAAAAAACCAAATATGCTTTACTAAAGCAAATACTTGATTCCTGTCATTATCAGCGATGAATTAATCATGGAATCATAGACTGCATTAGGCTGGAAGAGAGCTTTAAAGGTCTTCTAGTCCAACCCCCCTGCAGTGAGCAGGGACATCTTCAACTAGATCAGGTTGCTCTGAGACCCATCAAGCCTGACCTTGAATGTCTCCAGGGATAGAGCCTCCACCACCTCTCTGGGCAGCCTGTGCCAGTGTCTCACCACCCTCAGTGTAAAGAACTTCTTCCTCATGTCTAATCTAAGTCTGCCCTGCTCCAGTTTAAAACCATTGCCCCTTGTCCTGCAGCTACACACCCTTGTAAACCGTCCCTCCGCAGCTTTCCATCCCTCCCCAGCTTTCCCGTGGCCACCTTGAGGTACTGGAAGGACACAGATTATATTGTTAATTCCATAATGACATAAGTAAAGACTGCTGATTATTATATCATCAAAAGGATTTATTCTTTACTATCAGGCATAAAAATTTACCACATATTTATGATTTAAATTGGCAATATAAGACATGCAAGGCGCTCTATAAATTACTAGTCGCCACTGATGAAGACTTAAGAATGTAAGAGATAACACACTAAGAACTGGAGTTATATACTAATCTTCCTTATTTGCTCTGTGATTTGTTTGACTTAGGCCATATGTACAATTCAATAAATATATCAGAATATGTCCTTAAAATTAGATGCTGCTCACAGGTTGAGTGTCACAGCTTACTGCACTCAGTAGGTTTTTTCGCCTTTTAGACTTTGAGATTTATTTCTACTGAATAATTTGAGAGTTAATTTTGGTTTGACAAAATTTTTACTGGTTTGTATGGATTTGTAAACATCCCTTAAAGATTACGCAAGTTTAGAAAATATGAGAGAAGGAGACAGAGTCAGAGCAGGTTAGATCAAAACTGGTGATATAAGTGTCATCTGTTTTATTTCTGTGAGAAATAATTTTCTATTGCTCTTTATCAGCTACAACTGGTACAATGATTAGTGCATTACTGCTTTTCTTTTTTTCTCTGTTTTCTCAAGACGTCGGGAGTAGCATCAGTTGATCAATATCAAAGGGAACAAGAAGTTTTAAAGGAAAATTTAAGATTGTCTTCTGAAAATGTTGAGCTAAGATTCCAGCTGGAGCAGGCCAATAAAGATTTACCGCGGTTGAAGGTAACATCTTTTTACCTTCAGTCTGCTTTACCCTGACGCAAGTTAGGGGTTTGCTTATAAAGAAATAGATATTTTTCCATACTGTAAGTTTGTCATGGGTTTATGAAAAAGTAAGAGGTCAAATGGCTGGTAGAAATAATGAAAAATGTCATTGCAGTGGGAAATTCCTTTCTCTTTATATTTTTCAAAGTGAACCAACTGTAATTTTGTTACTGCTCACCTCAGTTACTTATCACGTGATTTTTTTTAGGACCAAGTAGGTGACTTAAAAGAAATGTGTGAACTTCTCAAAAAAGAAAAAGCAGATGTTGAACGAAAGTTGGCCAGCATTAGAGGGGTGGTAGGTAAACAGTCCCTCCTTATAACAGCATTTTTCATCATAATTAAATGAAACCAAAATATTTTAAAAAGCGCAGTGTTTTATTCAAGTTAATTTTTTTGGACTCAGCCAAAAGCAGGCATGAATTGTGTCTACTTGTTTATTTTATTGCCAAAGTACTATAATAAATTAATGAAATTAATTAAATGTTTGCACGATCGTGGTCTTATTTAGTAATTTGAATTAAGGTTACCTTCAGAAACATATTTGTACAAAAAATGGGAATTACAACCCTAATAATGATAATTATATTCATGTATTTATGTGAATGTGTAATAGTTACAGCTTTATGATTTAAAAGACAGGTTTTTTTATTTTATGCAGATATTAGAAAGTATAAGATATTGTTGAAGTTTTTTGCCGTACTATGCAAGATGACTTGCCCTGACTACTGACAGCAACTTTAACAGAATAATATTTCAGAAGTTTTAGGGAAAAAAAAAAAAGGCTTTACCCTTGGCATTAATCTGTCAGACTCTTTATGTGACATTTTAAAGCCAACTGACTTAATAAAAGCTCTTACGTGCCTTTATAGCTCTTTCAGTATATGAGAAGAATGAGTCCTGCTTCTGGGTACCTGGAAAAGATTGTATATTTCCCATTTTTTTACTTGTACCTTGCATGGACTGCTTGTGTATCTGCCTATATCCTACTACTACAGTGGTAGTTTTTGGATAAGGAAATTCAGTTTATAAAAGTGTTCCAAGAGAGGAAGCAAATTCGGAATCTTCCTCCCGTTTCAGGCACCAAGATCTGAGAGGTTTTTCTTTAAATCTTCTGTGTACCAAACTTCCTAATCCCTCAAGTTATTCTAGAGAAGGAAGAATCAGTCATTTTTACTCCTAAAATTTGGTTGCTATATAGTTTACATAGGACTTCAGGAAGTGAAATCTTCCCCATTTTCCACTCTGCTGGGCTCTTTACTTCTGTAGAAAGAAAAGGAGGTACTTCATGGGCTCAGAACTAGAAACAACATCATCTTTAAATTATTACTGCTGAGGAAAACAATTGTTACAAAGATGATGAGTAAATGTGTTTGAAGACCCTTTCTAACTCATAAATGAATGTAGTGAAAAAAAGAGAAATGGAGAAATCACACACTTTTTTCCTCCATATTTATTTATTTATTTGTCACTCTGCAATGAGAATATATGCCTTGGTGTCCTGGTTTGACCACTTGGGAAAGGGACAAGATTTACTCATGCTTTAAAATGTAGCTCTTCTGTCACTTTAATCCAGCAGAAGTACAGCTGCCTAAAAAGGACCACCTTTTCCTTCCTCAAGCTCTCAGCCTTTCTTCCCCTTCAGATAGCATTAGCATTTAAGCAATTGCACAGCCTGTTGGATCAGGAATCTATAAGGAAATCTAGAAGAATAAGTAGTACTTCAATTTATTATCCTAATGTTTGAGTTTAGCTGATAAAGTATAGCACATTTTGAGACTAACTGCAATTTTCTTGGGTAACACAAAAAAATGAAGAAGCCAATACGTTGACCTTGAGGGTGGTGTGTATCATTAGACCTGTCAGGAAGCTACAAATGCAAGAAACTTAGGGTTCAAGTCAAACCAAAATATAATACCTTTTTTATAAATATAAGTTGCAGTGGGAAAATAAGTGATAAAGTAAGATTTGGAGTATCTCAGAATGTTCAGATGAACTGTTTACATCGTTTTACTTTTTTTTTTCTTTCTTCTCTATAGGCTGGTAGAAGTGGAAAGACAGTCCCAGAACTGGAAAAAACAATCAGTTTGATGAAAAAGGTTGTAGAAAGAGTCCAAAGAGAGAATGAAGATCTGAAAAAAGCTCCAGTTGTGGTATCTAATGAGAAATTACTTGGTCTTGAAATGGAAAATGAGAGGCTAAAGGTACTGATTTATCTCCAGTAACTATATTTAGTAACAGATTATACGCAAGTTAGTAGGAAAATGAAGCAGCACTTGTTGCCATTGATGGCACAAGTGTTTTAAAAATACCAAATATGAAAAGAGTAGAACAGAAAAGCAAAACTGCATTTTAGCATAACATACGGAACCATTTATGAAAGGTACTTGCTGCCTTAAGGATATATTTAAATATGTGATGTAATGTTATGTTTGCTGTGCTAGGTAGCTCTAGCTATGTTGTGCTTTAAAAATGGAAGTCTCAAACTGTCAACTAAGTACATGTGTTTTAACAAACTGTTTGATACTTAGGCTGAAATGGAAAAAATGAAACTTCATCTGGAGGGCCAGCTGAGTATGCATTATGAATCTAAAACCAAAGGAATGGAAAAAGTCATTACTGAAAACGAGAGGCTGCGTAAAGAACTGAAGAAGGTATGATCATTTTAATGTGTCCCTTTAATTTTCATTACTTACTTTTTTGGTTTTTTTTAAATGGTGGATATGGAATGGATGTTTTCCTAAGCATTGATATTGTTTTGATAGAATTTTTAATTCTGAGAGGAGGCATTCAAGGACTAGTCTAAGAAAAGAATTGGAAGTTTTAGCGCCTACCCATCTTGGATGCACCATTCTCCTCTAAATCAGCACTGCCTCTATCTCACCAACATTTTAGGTGCTCCTGTGCTTCATGTGAGATTAAGTATTCCATAAACCTTTGTTTTTATTGAACAATAGGAAGCTGACAGTGGAGAGAAGCTACGAATAGCAAAGAATAACTTGGAGATATTAAATGAGAAGTTAACTGTTCAGCTGGAGGAAACCATTAAGAGGCTAAATCTGGCTGAGAGCCAGTTGGATGGAGCTGACAGCAAAAGCTGGAAGTCCTTTGTTGTAACAAGGTAGGAGTTGGGAATGAAGTGAGGAAGATAAACACAGGTGTTAATGCCTCTTTAAATATTGGTAAACAAGTTAGACTTTCATTTTCATAACGTTTCTTCTGAAGATAGTTTTATATTACCTGTATTTTATTTTCCAGTTTAATATTAGGATGTAGAATCAGCATATAGGTCTCTGATACGAATCCAGCAGAATCCAAATCGAGTGTCCTTGAGTACTGACCCTGTTAGCCTCTTCTGCACAGTAGCCAGTTACTTACCTCTCTTCCTCAGGTCAGCGGTAGACTTCTGGGTAGTTCTGGTAAAGAAAGCACTTCAGGATATAGATTAGTGGTCATGGTAGTGTGGGGCTGGTGGTTGGACTAGATGATCTCAGAGGTCCTTTTCCAACTTTAATGATTCTATGATTATGATTCTGTTTTTTGTTCCTTGCTGCTTAAATATATTGTGCTTTGTGGAGTACTGTCAGCATTTTTGCTGAGCATAGAAGGTATTTCAGTACCTTTATCACATGGATGACAATCTGAAACAAAAAACAGAAGCCAGCAACCTGCATCTTGCAGCTTGGCTGCATTTGAATCTACATTTAACTATGTGAGTGTGCAGAGGTTGTGTTAGAAAACCCACTGGGATTTCTATATTTCTTGTGATGTGTAGGCATGTATGCTCTGAAAGCCCTGAAAGCTGATAGCAGTCAGCTAGCTGACTCTGTTACCTGTAGAAGGGAGAAAAACTCAGAGACTAGCACTGGATTATCTTTTCCAATATATAAAATGAAGTGTGGGCATCACCATTTCTAGAATTTTAGATAAAATTCAGACTTTGAAATCAGCGTCAAAAATCATTTTTGGTTTGATAATAATGTCTGCAACTTTTCACGTGTAAGTTATCTGAAAGTTACCTAGCAGTTGTTATAAACTCATGTATCACTTGCCTCACTCAGCATGGAACAAACTAAAGAAAACAGTTCTATGACACTGATTTCTGCCTTTCAATTTAGGCATACATTTTAAATTTATTTGTACTTCTGCAGTTATTTCAGATGCTTTTTCTATGACAACCTACGTCTACAGGCTGGAGAGCTTAACTCTACAGCCTGAACAACTTTTAATTGCATTCATTTCTTTGCTAGAAGCTGTTTAGTTCTGTGTTTTGTTGTTTACTCAAAAAAATGATTCTGGCATTCACCCAAAAGCGTTGCTAGTCCAGAAAGCATGACTGTTACATCCATTTTTAATAATGAGCTACACACAAAGATGCTAGTTATATGTCACACTGGCATGTTTAATAATGAACAGATTAATATAGAATATGAAGTTTTATATATCACATGAAACATGCCTGTGGTTCATCAAAGTGGACAAGGAAGGGGAATTTTACTCTCTTGAGGCAAGAGTTTCTAGTTGGATATCATCATTCATACTGCCATATCTCAGAAAAGGGCAAGAAAATGAAACAAAGCTTATGCTTTTAAGAGAAATAAACAGCTTGTGTCCTGCACAAGGATGTAAGAGAGCAAATTTTTGGGAAGAAATCCTTCAGCCTGAACTCTTGAATGACCTCAAGATGAAATAAGATGATATGTTGCAAAAGTACTTTTTAATAGCTGTAAACAGATGTGGATGGTATCTACAAAAAACAGAACCTCTGACAGCAACCTTACTGGGGCAGTCAGTCAGCTGAACAGGTGAGAGTTGTCTGATTTTATCGTAGGTCAGATCGCTGCTGAAGTCTGTGTGCTGTTTTCCAAGATTTTACCCACTTTCCAGTCTTGCATTCCCACGTGATCCCTTGGGCAAGTTCTGGTGCTTCTCCAATGTAATCCTGAGCCACTTCACTGAGACTTCAGAAAGCCATTCTGTTTTTTCAACCTTCTCCCTAACTATGTAGTGAGGTAAAATGCCTCTGTGCAAGGTCAGGCGTCAGCCACATTTAGCATTTGGAAGGAGAGCAAAACTGGCTGCCTGCCACAGGACGGGGAGGATCACAGGAACATGCAGTGTAGACGGTAGGCCCTCAACAGCTAGAGTAGACCACTAGAGTCTCAGCTCAGTAATTTGAGTGTAGTTTTTCTTTTAGTTCTTCACCTGTTTGAAAAACGTTTCTACTCAGTTCTGTTTAGTTGATATAGATAGATAGTTGTAGATAGATGGACATAAAACGTATGGTGGTGCTTAATTGTGCTTGCCTATTTCACGTGGTGTGAATGGAAACTTTTATTTGCATTTACTTTAATATGACTTTAAAGTGAGTAACATTAAGATGTTACTGACCTAGAGGAGCTCATTAGGGGGCGCTTCAACATGCAATTCACCTCACCAGCACATCTTCCAAAGGATGTGCATGGTACTAGAACTCTGATAGGGCAGGCAAAGGTGTGGTCCTTCGGAAGGCTCTTTGGCAGGTAGCAAGATGCTGGAGATTTTATTGCTGTCTGAAAACCCACTTCAGATGGGACGTTGGACTACATGATCTCCAGAGGTACCTTCCAACCAATATTGCAGCGATTCTACAAAAACCCTTTTTGGCTCTAAGCAAAACAGAATCCTCCTCAGACTGCTCTTACTCCAGGATAATTTCTTGCAGAACGTTTTTGCCCTTGGAGTCTTCATCTTCTGTATCTGTATTAACCCTTTTCTCAGTACAATGGTTTATTTTTCATGAATTATTAAATCATAAGAAATACACTGTCAAAGGTACAACACTGAAGGAAGACCTGACCAGCGTGCATAATGCATCTGTAAGAGATGTGCATATTTCTAGCAGGAGGTAGTTTGGGGTTTATGTGCACACCATGAAAAAGATTCCAGCTCCCCTTTAATAAAGTGATACACAAAATAAGATCCACAAAGGTGTAACATTTTGAAAAGTCTTTATTCTGAGATTAAAAATGTATTTTTCAGTATGCTTCTTACAGCTCACTTAAAATAAGACCAGTGATTATTTCAAGGCCAGTGCCCCAAATATGTTTTATGGTGTATTTTATGGTATTTAATCTCATAAGGCTATTTCAGTCTCTATTTCTGCAAAAGTAATAGCTTTTGCTCTTTGTCTTTTTCTAAATGAAAACACTTCCAGGATGCATGAAACTAAGATGAAGGAATTGGAAATGGATATTGTTAAAAAAACCCAAACCATTACTGACCTTAAACGGCAGCTTCAAGAAGCAACAGAACGTGAACGCACTGCTGATAAAAAGTTACAAGATCTAAAAGACCAAGTAAGTAAAATTTAGCCAGATAACTCTGAGAATAGATTGTTTAATATTAATTATTTCTAATGTATGTAGTGTCAGAGTACATTTTTTTCTTTAATCCATGCTTTTATAGTTTTTTTTTTAGTCCTAGTTGCCATAATTGTGTATTTACATATTTTAGCCAATTATTAAGGTTTACCACATATTACCAATACCTATTCTTGACTTGCAGTCTTAGGGCAAAATCAATTTTTTTCTACTGCATTTTTCTGTAAGTTTTTTTTAATTGTAGTTTCATTTCTCACATGAAAGCTTGTAGGGGCAGACGCTTCAAATGGTCTTAAAATCTTGTTCTGCAGAGACTTCCCTCTTCCTTCCACATCTTTTTTGTGGGATTGCCTCTGCCATCCTCTTCATGCCTGTTTCCAAGATGGGCTCTTACATGCAGTCTCTAACAAATCACAGAATGCATTGGGCTGGAAGGGACTTCTTAAAGGTCATTTAGTCCAACCCCCCTGCAGTGAGCAGGGACATCTTTAACTAGATCAGGTTGCTCAGAGCCACATCAAGCCTCACCTTGAATGTCTCCAGAGACAGAGCCTCCACCACCTCTCTGGGCAGCCTGTGCCAGCGTTTCACCACCCTGTGTAAAGAACTTCTTCCTCATGACTAATCTAAGTCTGCCCTGCTCCAGTTTAAAACCATTGCCCCTCGTCCTGTCGCTGCACATCCTTGTAAGCAGTCCCTCCCAGCTTTCCTGTAGCCCCCTCCAGGCACCGGAAGGACACATACAGAGAAGTTGATGAATTTTATTGGGTACCTTTGTAAAGATGTATTGAATTTTAGCCTTTAAATAGTCCAGATATGTAGCCCTACAACTATCCACCCAGATTAGCTTCCATCTTCTCACTTATCGATACATGCCCGGCTTTCTTCCCCAGACATCCTGCACTGCCCATTCTCAATGTCAGGTATCGAATACACAACTTTCAACATAGGAATTCATAGATATTATGTAAGCAACTAAATGTGTTCAATAAATAGAACTTGGAATTGAGTCCTAGAAAACAACTTTGTTTATTTTTTCTTGTTTTCTCTTTTTCTAATGTCAACGTTATTAACATGAAGTGTCTGCTGGCAGCAAAATTAACACAGAGATAAAATCCTTCTATTATCCGATACTACTCTGGAGCAACACTTTCCTGGTTCTCTGATGAAGGAACGTGGCCAAGCTTAACTGCATTTCAAAGTAACAGAGACTGATTGTGAAATCAATGCAAATATTTCTACCTAAAATAAAAATTCTTGGCATTTTAGGTAAAAATAGAACAAAAGCTTATCATTAACAGTGGCCTTACGAGAGCTCATAAATTGTCACTGCATTCAAAACCTGTATATAGCCTCATTCAGAACACGAATTTTTTGATCCTGCCATCTCCGACTGAAAAGCACTTCTGCGTGCTCACTCCCTGCTCACGGATCTGTTCTGAGTTACGACTGCAGGTCATCTTTAGTCAACAGTACCTTGTGCTTTTGTTGCAAAATCACAGGCTTTTCATACTATGTTAAAAAAAAAAAACTTGGACACCTAGGTATGCACATAAGGATATCAGTATTTTCAAGTACTTTAATGATTTAAGCATATCGCTTCCTTAAGCATATGTAAAAATTGTGCTAACAGAGCTGTATGTCTAACACAATCTAACTTTTGAATGCTTTTTCTCCACCCTTCATGAAATATGTAGCAATGATCTCTACTAACTTTAAAAAGGGTGTAGATAATTAGCTTTGTGGACACTGTCAGTAGATTGAACACTTGGCTCTTATTTATAACCTAGAATTTCGTTACATCCTTAGTATTATTTGCATTCGTATGTTAATCCTGTATCAGAGAACTCCATCTGAACTGCATTATCCATGGACACTATTTGCAAGTGTAAAACTTTCTTAATTTTTCTTCAAAGATTGATCTTCTCAAACATGTTCCTGAGGCTGCAAGAGCAGAGCAAAGCTTCAAGGACCTTGAGCTTTTAAGGTAACATACGTTTAAATAACTAAATAACTCAGCCAATATACATGAAATAAGAATGATCAGGAAATTTTATTTACATAATTTATACTGTAAATTTTTTTTTTAATTTTAAAAAATATTCTAAAATTGTTCTTTATTCCAGGTTAACTAATAATCGATTAGAGGAAGAAAAAGCAGAACTAGCTGATCAGCTAGAGGATTATAAGCACCACATACACAAATACACAAGTGAAGCTGGTAATCACTTTCAATACCTAAGATAAAGATTTGTGTTTTGGGCCTAAAACTATTCTAAAGAATCATTTTAATTATACTAATGCCAGAGTAACATAAACTGGGGCAGACTAAGGTCTTGGATTTTTGAGTACTTACACAAGGTTTTCATAGACAAGTGTTAGTAAAAGTCTGTACGTGTCACCTTTCTCAGAAACGTGCTAATAGACTGGCCAGTGGGGGATTGCATTCAATCCCAGGAACTAGACACCACCACCTAGTTTGTGCGAGTGCTCAAGAAAAGCCCAGATGACTTGAATTTTTGGTGGTTGTGGATTTACACACTTCAGTTTCTGCTTTCAGGAGATGCGGAATTACTGTAACGAGATCATCCATGTAATTGATTTTCATTACCTTAAATTTCATAAAAAATTATCATCATTTTTTTGCAGGATATAATGAAATTGTAGAGAAAGATCAAAATGAAAAGTTAATAGCAGAAGTAGTTGACCTCCAGACACAGCTGAAAGCCGCAGAGGTGGAAAAACAGCAATTAAAGGTGAGTTGCAAGGATCATCCTAGGCAAGGTAATGAGCAAAAACTATGGTTAGCTAGAAAGAGCTGTTTCATATCTGAACTAATATTTAATGCAAATGTCATTTTTTAAACATGTTTATGAAGGTTATTTTGTTGGTGGTGAATGTGTTGTTCATGGGTAGATTTCTGTGTCTCTAGAGAACATGCTTATTCTCTCATCATTCAGCCTCTGTTGTTGACATGTATTTCCTGAGTTCTGGATCAAAGTGGCACTCCTTCATTCTTTTTAATAGGATGAAACAGAAAAGCTGAGAAGAGAACTAGAGAACTTGGGCCCTTCCTTTTTTGAAGAAATCGAGGATCTGAAATATAATTACAATGAAGAAGTAAAAAAAAATATTATCTTAGAAGAGAGATTAATGAAGCTTTCTGAAGAACATGGCATTCAGTTGGATAGTCCAGGCAATGTTTCTGTTGATCAAGCTAGTGTTTAATATCCTTATTATTGATACAGAAAATAAGTTATACAATATTGATTTATTTGTCTGGTTTTATCTTGGCATGATAGAACTGCAGGGAAGTTACAGTAGTTTGGCACATACCTAAGAGTGCAGAATTTGATTAGTCAACAGGTTAGGGTTAGTGCTTATATACACACCAGTCAAAAGTGAGTTTTACCTCTCCCAAGTCCTTTGCAATATTAAATTTTAATTCAAAGCAGTAATTTGGGTAATACACAGATGTCCGGTGAAGTTGAAACCTTGGACATATCCTAAAAGGTGAGGAACTTTTACATTATGCTAAATTCCAAATCAGTAAGTGTATGTCATTTGTTCTTGCAGTCTCATGCTGTTGTACTTCTCAACTATGGACTCAGGGTCAGCCTGCCAGTTGTCTGTTCTTACATCCCTGGTTATTTTTACCTCGATTATAGAAAATCCAAGAACAGAAAAATGAAAATAAAGTTGTGGGTTTTTCAGCCAAACAAATGATATTTTTGTAGATAAGTGATGTTTTGTTATGTGTATTTTATATAGCTGGATGTATACATTTATAGCACAGATAAAATAAAGCCAACTCAAATGATCATGCATGCTCACGTTTATTATTTATAGGCCATCTTACTTAACATGCCCTTTATGAAGCTTCCCAATTGAGATGCAGGCTGAAAATGGGTGTTTTTAAGCCAAGTCACCTCTCCCTCTAAGGATCTCCAAAACAGAACTAGTATAGTTTCTGTTATTTACTCTTTTTGTCCCCAGATAGTGGAAGTACTTATGGGATCTAGCTTAATTCGATTTTCAAGTAATAGCATGAAGCTGCAGCTTACCAGTTAAATAATACAGTGAAAAGTTTTCCCCAAAAAGAAATTGTTACAACTTGTCAAATTTCAGGACTAATTCTGGTCCCATCTGAAAAAAAATCCTTTACTATTCAGAAACAACTAGATCCTAAATCTGAATCCTACATATAACAGTGTCATAATAATTATATTTACAGAAGTGCAACTGGCAGTTGATTCCATTCACTAGCTAAGTTATTAGGACCAGACAGTGTTAGACAACATACTTCTTACACTTAATTATAACAGTTGACAGAAATGTCTTTATAGAAGTTAAGGATTTTTCAGAACTGAGAATAAACATGCTGAAAGCTAGATTTCTCCTCTGGATGTCAGATCTTTCATTATATAAAATTAGTCATTTAGGAAAACCTTAAAATCTTACAGTACCCAGCCTGCTGGCTAAGCTAGAAGATTATTTGTAAAGAGTTCTGTGGTGGACACAGTAAGAGGAATGCAGGACAAACAACGATTAACTTAAAAGAGAAAAATTATTTCAAGCATCAAACTTGATATCTTTGAGTCTGTCAAATCTTTGACCATCCAAGTTTGAAAACTGGTAAAACAAACTCTTTGGTTCAAAGTCATAGTCATACTTAGTTCTATTAAAAGAAACTACAACAGGCTGAGAATTCAGGTATGTCTCTGCAAGTGGCCAGCGTAAACCAAGATGATGTCGATGAAGCTAAAATAAAAAGAAATAAGATCAGTTCAGAGATTTTGATACAGTAGCCCAACCATAGCCTAATGCTGTGTGTGTGTGTGTGTGTCCGCTTTAATTCTAGGATCCTCTGCATGAGGGCACTTAGAACCATTCATCAGTTACTTCAGAAAAAAAGCAGCACAAAAGGCAAACCAGAACCAAGGTGTCCCCTACAGCTTCAGAAGTAATACAAACTTGCTAGTTAATCAAAAATCACATTGTTATTAACAATACTTGTTCTATAAGTTAACATTCCAAGAAATTAACTTTTTAAATAAAAGAATTTGGCCTTAAAAATGTTGAGTGATTCCTATACAGAGAGGCAAGAAAATAATTATGTTTTCAATTATTTTAAGTTACTAGCATAATGCAGAAAATTAAAATGTTTACTATGTTGTCATGTTAGTGATTCACTGGTTTGACTAATTCTACTGTCACCTGATTTGCTAGAAGAATATTTACTATTCATGAATTTGGAAAACAAAACAAAAAGTGAATACCTCGCAATACTTCACTTACTATTATAGGTCCATCTATATATTTACCTTGATTAAACACCCATCATGGCAGTGCCACACAATTCCTTCAACTTTACCCTCACTGCAGCCTTCAAACCACGACAGTATGTCATTTTGTTTCAAAGAAGGTGGATTCTTTATTTCAAATGCTCCATGTGGTACAAGAAGATGTACAGGCTGCTTCTTGCTTCCTAATCCTGTGTTGAAAGAAACAAAAATCTCCCTGCTAGTTACGTGTGATAACTTAAGATTTTCTTTACTTTTATTACGGCTATCTTAAAAGCAGTCAATAAAGGTAGATTTCTATTAGATACTACAACGTTGCTCTTTCTTTATGAGAAGAGTTAAATATACTTTGAAGTATCAAATGTAGCTGTCTCCTCCTCATAGAACTTTTTATTTATATAAAATAAACATGACATAGAGATTTATACAGTTGTCTGCTTTGTCCTTGTGGTGACCTCCTCAGTAAGGATAAAGCTACGAGCTAAACTTTTCATGCTTCAGATCATGATCCATGGCACGAGCATCTTAGTTCCTGACAATCTGGCCTGTTTTCTTAACAATGTGAATTAATACTTAAGCCAGGTTGTTAACGAATGCATTGCCCCTTCACTGACTTTCAAAGTAAATCTTAATTGAGGAATACAGCTGTTAGATTTTTTTTTTTGTTGCAGTTCTTTGAGATTCTGGGAAAATGCTTAGACCAGGAGCTACTATTTTTCCTATCCATCCTCATGGCAAAGCTCAGAAATTAGAACTCACTTGTGCTTGCTCCTAATTGTTTGGGGTTTTTTTTAACAAGTCTTTTATAGGGAGAAGTCACAACCAAAATCAAGCTTAAGTTATGGTTCCTCAAAAATAGTATTCAGCATATTTAATAATTTAAAAATTACAACTTGTGACTAAGGACTCAAAAGCGGCTGAATATGATTTTCTACTTTAATGGACTAAACAGCATCAGAAGAGCAAGTAAAAAAAACAAGTCAAGAAACAAACAATCTTACAAAACATTTTAGTATTTTAATAGTAATATTTAAAACAACTTTTCCAGTCATAATATCTTTTGAAAGACTACAGCAAAACTTTTTTATAGTAACTCTACAGAACATGCAGGTAGAAAGAAGTTTAATAGACATAAATATTCTCATGACACCTCAGCTTTCTGAGGTGAGTATTTCTGGGCGAGTGCTTTTTGAGCTAGCCCTTTTCTTTCTAAAAAGATTACATTGCTACCTCAGACCTTTTCTTTTATAACTTATAGAAAATGCAGTTTTCACTCAAAAATATCATTAAATAAAAAAGCACTTAGGAACAGACTATAGAAACTTACCATATGGATTTGCATTAATATTAGTCCCAATAAGCTCCAGCGTTTGTTCTAAAATTTCTGACAATGGCACCGGACTGATTTCCAGAAGCCCTGGGTCAGTGTGGTGTTTCAGCACCAGCGCTATTTCGGCCTCATAATTTACAACAGATGAGTGCCAGCAATACTGCTTACTATTTTTTTCCACAGGCACCCAACCTATGAGAAAACATTGCATTTTACCAAAGTGCATTTCACCAAATAAGTTACCATATGCATACTAGAACTATACGTGCACAAAAAAAAGCCCAACCAAAAACCCCACCGTTAACTAGAAACAGGAAGAGTAACAAGAAAAGCTGTGCTGTATCTCAGAGAAATGTCAGGGAAATGCAAACATGGCAACTACGCCTTCAGCCCTGTAAGTCTTTGCAGCAAACTGCAATTATTTCCAATGTGTCAGAAGAACAAAGCCTTTCTAAATAGTGAATGACCGGCATTCCAGTTGTTCTCTGAATATGTTAACTACTACTTCTAACTCTGGAACTAATTCTAATTTGCTTAAAAAATGGATTTCTCCTCCACTGCATTTCAGCTGTGCTGTATCATAGGTACCTGGCATATGTCCATTTTCATCGGGCAAAGGGTTGCCATTGGAAAACTCGATGTCTTTTGCTGGAATCCAGGTATCTGGAACAGGCTTGAAGTCCTCTTCAACATTCCAAACAAATTCTAGTCATGTAAAGGTGAGATTTAGATTCTGGCAAACTGTTAGCCAATTTTACGTTTTGAACATCTTTCAGTGCAAGTATTAAACTTACATACCACTGATCTAAACCTTATTTCACAGACAGCAGTCCCAGTTACTTAATATAAGCACCATGTGGCTCACTCAAGCAGTCTAGAATTAGCAGGGTTTAAACCATCATAGTAGCCTATAAGTAGTTTAAAATTTCAAAACTAAGATTAAAAAAATAACTATGTAAACAGACAATATTACATTTAAACTAGAGCAAGAGAAGTAGAATAGACTATTTCAGTTGGAAGGGACCTACAACAACCATCTAGTCCAACTGCCTAGTCCAACTCAGGGCTAACGAAGAGTTAAAGCACATTGTTAAGGATACTGTCCAAATGCTGCTTAAACACTGACAAGCTTGGGGCATCGACCACTCTAGGAAGTCTGTTCCAGTGTTTGACCACCCTCTGGTAAAGAAACGCTTCCTAGTGTAGTGACAGGATGAGGAAGAACAGTTTCAAACCAAAAAGAGAGTAGATTTAGATGTTAGGAAGAAATTCTTTACTATGAAGGCGGTGAGGGACTGGAAGAGGCTGCCCAGAAAAGCTGTAAAAGACCCCTCCCTGGAAGTGCTGAAGGCCAGGCTGGATGGGGCTTTGAGCAACCTGGTCTCATGGAAAGTGTCCCTGCCCATGGAAGAGATCTTGAAGGTCTCTTCCAACCTGAGCCATTCGGTTGTAATCAAACTTAAGTTTTAAGGAGCTAATTGCTTAATGAATAGCTAATCACCTTTTTAATTAAATTAGTTTATTGATTTATATTAGTATAAGGAATATAAAACCCTACTTATGCTAAGAAGTCGTGTGTAGGCCCTGGCTAGAGC